AGAAGCCCTTAAATCCCACCAGGGAATCTCGTCCGATAGATGGCAGAGCCCACTGGGGGGGGGGGGGGAAGGGAGCCCCTCAGAAAGCCAGCTTGAGAGACACCAAGCAGTCCTCGACTTACGACCCCCAAATTACGCCCAGAATTTAGGCGGTTAAAGCTACCGAGTTTTCCCGCGACTTTTCTGTTGGTTAACGGAATCCCTGCGGCTCTTAAATGAGTCACGCGGTCGTTAAGTGAACCCGGCTCCCCCCCCAATGGACTTGGCTTGCCCGAAGGTCCCAAAAAAGGGATCGTAAATCACGTGACTGCGGGAGAGGCTGTGACGGTCGCTAAGTGTGAAAAATGGTCGTAAGTCTCTTTTTTCCTTTGAACGGTCACTAAATGAACTGTTGTAAGCCGAGAACTGCCTGAGGTCCTTGACTTATGACCCCAATCGAGCCCCTCCAAATTTCCGTGGCTAAGCGAGACCGTCGTTAAAGTGGATTTGGCCCCGTTTGGCGACCTTCCTTGCCATGGTCGTTCAGCGAATCGCTTGCGGTCGCACAGTCGTTAAGTGAACCTGGACTTCCTAATGCCTTTGTCACGTGACTCCGGGGCATGGCCACCGTCATAAGTACGAACCAGTTGCCAAACGGCCGGATTTTGATCCCGCGACCAGGGGGAACGTTGCGATAGCCGTTAAGGGTGAAAAGCTTTGCCTTTTTAAAAACCTTTGAGCCAAACGGCCGTACGTTCGAGGACTACGTAGAACAAGCAGCACCGCATCCCTTTCTAGCAGAACTTCCAAAGGGCCTTCAAGGTCAGCCCCCAGCAGAAGGCCTGGCAGTAGCCCAGAGGGGAGGGGAGTGAAGCAGGAGGGAACTGGGGGCTTCCTGTGGCCCAGGAAGAGTCTCGTTGGTGGGCCAGGAAAGTCCGGACGAGGCCCTTTGGGCTTCAGCTGCCCACCTGCCCTTCTTCCACAGGAGCTCCAACCTCCAGGAGGACCTCAACCGGCCGGTCAGTTCGGTCCAGGAAGGTCCTCCTCGTAATGACGGAGGATATCCGGAGCTCAGGGTTCACCTGAGGGGTCCTTGGGGGTCCTCTGAGCTTGGTGGTTTCCTTGCAGACGTTTCACGACCCAACTAGGGAACATCATCAGGGCTAGGAGGGAATGGGGCTTGCAAAGAAGAGGAGGAGGAGGANAAACCCTAGTAATTTTGGGATGCTTATCAAATGTAGCTCAGTAAACAATGGTGCAGAGGATTTCTGAAAATCTGCTTCCTTTTCACATATTTGATTTATCTAGGCAGAAAAGGAGCTCAATTATTCAATGCAACCACATCAGTGGCACACCTAGAATGATCAGAAACTCAGTCAAACGCAATTAAAACTTTTGACCAGAGAATGTGACACTCTGTGAATATAGCATTTCGTGACTTGCTGGGAAATGAAATCAGTAAAAGGGATGTTACTGAGAAGCCATTAAAAACCAGACTAGGAAATACTGTAGTAGAGAAAAAAAGCATAAAAAAACAGGATGTTTAACACAGAGATGTGTACAATATATTTGCAACTATTTAATCAAAATTGATTAGATGCTCCGTTGATTTACATATACAGCTTGGTACAAAAAAATGCATTAGGTTCAGAGATTTATTTTTTAAAAAGTTCCTTGTATTTAACATTCCATAAGTTTTTTTCTACTTTAACATTGTGCCCATTAGTAAAAACAAAAATGACACACTGAAAAAAAATATCATAAAATAACATTTTGCATGGATGAGGCTCTCATACGCAGTGCCAGAAATAAATTATTTTTTAAGCACCTCAAGTGCTAATTGTTTTTATTTATGCAAAGATTCGGGCCAGGTAGAAACAAACAAAGACTTAAAACTTTTACTGCATTGTTCATTTCTTGAAACAAAAGCTCTTCATCTTTTCCTCTTACTTTTCGATACACATCTGCATACTTTTCAATACACATCAGGCCTTACCAGTAATTCAAAGTCCAGCTGTCAGGATGATTTTGAGTATCCAAAGAACTGCAACAGAAAACTGAATATTCATGGTATTCATTCTATGTGACCACACTGAAGTACTCCAATTCCCATGTATTTTTTAACCTTCTGACATAGCTTGGCCAATTCTTACTTATTTTTTTTCCTTATGTCCCTTGGGGCTTTTTGCTTCACTGTCTCTAAGTCAGAGGTGGGTTCCTACCAGTT